TTAATTTGGACGTAGCTGTTCCATTGAAAACACATGTTTTCCCATGCGAATAGGTTTGTAATCGCTTCTATTATTCCTTTTTATCAACATGTTACGTTAATGAAAAGAAAACGAGGAATGAACTGAACAGACATATCGTAAGGTCTGGAAAACCTCTGCCAAACTAAAGAATATTTGGCCTTTCTGTGAGCCATGTGGTTTTTAAGTATGCTAATGTATGACCTATAGAATGAGTACAAAGACCTTAGGAATAAGTCGCACAAGCGCAAGAAAAAGGGATGACTTGGGTGGGACGCGTTACCGCGTCACGCTGTCGTCAACGTGTTAAATGAAACACACTTGTGTATTCTAAAACGCTTGGAAACTAAAACATCTTCAGTCTCACTATTTTTCCTTAATTTTCAAGTGAATAGAGCAACCGCCTCCAATAGATCTCGACAATTATAAAAACCCACCTGGAAAAACTGCTTGATCCCTTCATCACACCGTTGAGTGTGAAGCATTAGGAATCGGATACGACCAGCAGAAACGAAAGCTGATACAAACCATTCGTTGAACTTGTCAACCATCTGAAAACTTCACCATATCAAATACATTGAAATAGTGCTTCACCTGAGCCGCTCCCATCATATGTGGAAGACACGCACATGGCCGCCTATTTCATCTCGAAATGAAGGGAGATGTGTGGAAGAAGAAAGTCGTAAGAGGACGACAAAGACGGGAGCAGAATGTAAAGAATGGTTCTAAGAATACAACAAAATAGCGGAAGAGAGGTAGGAATTTGAAAAAAAATTACCAACTTCCTGGAAACTGATTCCCTGTCGCATTCAAAGTGGAACATGATGATGAGAACTTTTACAATTACGACCACCTCTCCCTCTTTTTCTCCCCATTACTAGAACTCATAACCTCTGCCTCTCCTTTGCACTACCATGGCCTTTCATTTCATTTCTGTTGACCAGGAGGTTTGATCAGTAAGAAACTAAATTTCTGAGTAAATCTCCTGGGAAGAACCGGTTTCTTTCTTGAAAAAAATCTTTTCGGAGCAGAAACAATAACTATCTCGACATACAGTTGACGGGATCCACCAAATGATTGCGCCCTCGTAATTTTATTTATCTAATTACTGACTTTTCTTAACTGTTGCCGTCCAGTTATCTTCAAAGCTGTTGATGAAGTAACAAAACAGGAAACCAGGAGGGATTAGCAAATCCTATTGTCAAGACAGCTGCTTACCTTAGAGCTCATGAGAAAATTTATGATTTGAAAATTTGTAAATGAACCAAAATACTAACAGGAAAATGAAGAAAAGACAAACCTTAAGGTACATATTATTACTGGTAAGAGCTTGTTCATCAACCACGTCAAGTGCAGCGTGAGCGATGAATTGGTTCAAATGCCTTGAAATACATTCTTCAAGTACAAATGAGTGCAGGTAACATTCACAACATACTCAGAAAGTTTAAAGAAAACTCGATACCTGTTTTCTGACTCGCGTGACTTCTTATCGACAATCGGGAAATCCATTTCAAATAGAGGTTGATCACTGTGACCGACTATCACAAAATAGAAGTTCTTTTGAACAGACATGTCTGAAGATGCCGAACGTTAGTGAAAAGTATTTGTTGAGACCTTTGCTTGAGGCTTAAACGGATACACCTTCTAAAACAGATTA